GTTGTTTCAAGACTTCAATAATTGAAATTAAACAATGGTGCAACATCTTTGCATAACAACACGATTAATCTCTAAATACATGTATTTTATAAAAATAATAAAAGCCACTTAAAGCCTAAAACCAGACCGTAGTAACTAGATTCAGGAAAAGTTAGTTAATTCTATTTTATCTTTTTAAATTAAAACAATTTTTAATCGTAAAGTAAAAAAAATGTTACGTCATCGTGTGACGTATCTACATTCTTGAGATCACAACTTGGTAAAAACTAAAAAGAACCAAGGCAAGTTATTTCTTTAGAGTCGATGTGTAAAACTTGCCGGTGTTTCTCGAAGATGCCGGGCCGAATTGAATAATAATAATAATAAAAAACGCTTCCCAGTCTATTTTTCTTCACTCGTGAAATTATTAAATAAAATAGTTTCACATAAAATAAAAACAAAAAGATATGTCAGACTCTTAGCGCCAAGCTTTAATTTTTCAAAAATCTACAAAAGAATTTCGAGGGAATCGATAGACCCCCCCCCCACATATTTGAAAATTAAACTTTCAAGTTGTTATACTAGTCATTATTATGGGATTTGAATTGTGTATCTCATTAAGAGATTTTTAGCAGTAGAGACTTACGAAAAACACTTTACTTGTTAAAGATTAAAAAATGTTTTTATAAGATTTCCACTATTAGTTTTAATTACCTCGTAAAAAGAATTCTTCGCTTTAAACTTCTAACGAAAAAGAATATAATTACTTTCATCCTTACCAGATATTTCTTTAAAACTTTCATACAGCTGTTGAACTTGAAAATAATATACAAGTGATGTTGACATTCACACATTCAAAATGTTCTCATCAATCAGTACTTAAATTTGTCATCTTTGAACTTTTTGAAAATAATTTTCTAATTTTATTAGTTACTGCTTAACTAAAAACCGAGAGATGCTTTTTTTTTTTTTTTTAAAGAGCATGTTTGTGTAACAATTATTTTATTAAATTGTTTTCATTGGAGGAAAAAAACAAACAAACCAGGTTTTATTTCTGAATAAAGGATCGTTCGGACTACTGAACTTATTCTTCTTTACTGCAAAAAAGCAACAAAGAATCACACACCCTTATCCCAAAAGATAATGCCAAAGGACTTTCATTTTCAGACAATAACTACTCTGTACAATGTTTACTAGTTTTGCTTTAACCTCAAGGAGGAGAGAGAGAGAGAGAGAAAAAAAAAAAAGACCAAAAACTTAACGATGTTAGGTGTCCTGAAAACACTTTATGGCATCGGAGATTAAGGGAAATTTCAGCTATATCTCAAACAATTGATTACATATAAAGTATAAACTGTGCCAAAATAATAGATACATAAAAAAAGTAGTTTAATAAATAAATGTGTGGGTGAAAACATTTAAGGATAAAGTTATTCTTTAAAATTAAAATAGGAGCACAAACAAAAACAAAATATATTTTTTAAATTGCAGGATGGAGATACCAATCCTGCAATTTAAAAAATATGTAGATAAACACATTTAAAAAATTAAGCATTAAAAATAACAGTCAATTTATTAATTATTCACACAAAAGCTCACGTTCATATGACTTGATTGGAGATATTTTCGATATTTGCAAAGAAACACGAATTTTTGGAATTATCTTTGTTTGTAAAACTAAAAAAAAAAAAAAACGAGAATTTGAAAACCTAGCAGTAAAATTAATTTTATTTTTAGTTTGCACGCTCAATTCAAAACGTACCAATTTCTAATATTTTAACGAAAATAAAGCTACTTAGAATTGCATGCTACAGGCCGTACACTCCCTAGTCGCCCCTACTCCCTAATTCCGCTTTATTTTTATTCGAAGTTGGGTGCAAATACCACATTCAAAACTTTCTGCCAATGAAGCCTCAATAATGAAGTTCGTTTTTAAGCAATAATTACAAAAAAGACTGATGAAAAAGTGAAATGTAGTTAATAGCAACTGTAAAAGAGCTATTAAGTAGGATGAAATGGGAACTTTGACAACATTCGAGTCGCTTTTATGATGACTCAATTAAAAAAAAAAAAATCAATAAAACCATCATCATCACCCAGTGAAATGTTGATTTTTTAAATGTCATACTAAGCGAGTCAAAAAGAAATGACGATGACGTAGTGAGAAACAAGATCGCAGAGGTTGAAAAGTGAATGCAGAGTAAATGTGTTTGCTTACCTTTGCAAAGCAAAAATAAAAACGTTCATATCTCTCATCAAAGAGATTTACGATTTTTTGTATAGAGAAATTCATCACCGTAATTAATTAGGGATGGAAATGAAGGTGGTGGAAAGGGGCCCTAGTGCTGCTGATTTTTTTTTTTTAATGGGCAAGGCAAATTAAGCGGGAATGCGCCTAGTAGGCCGTGGATAGTGCCAACGAGCCAATGAAAGTGTTCTTTAGTAACTAGCAATAAAATAGGATCAGGCAAGCAGCTGGATCAATAGACGTGAATAGTAAGACGAAGATGGGGAGAAAGAGAGTGTGTATCTCTCTCTCTGCCAGAGTGATCTCCCATCAGTCGTATGACCCATTTTCAGAGAACTAACTCCACAACAGGACAGACATTATTACTGCCACCACCACTACTATTGCTGCCGCCAGCACAACCGACAACTCTACCTACCACTCTTTGCTTCTGCACACACGCACTCAACAGAAAAAGTATCGCTTTTTTTTTACTGTATAGATTATTCAAAATAAATTCTATTAAAAATGTCCTATATTTTTAGGGTGCACTTTTCATTAAAATAAATAAAATAAGAAATAATCTTTAACTTCTGACGACCAAATTAAACATCTTTTTTTTTTCTCACTCCAAATTTTTCAATATGGATGAACTAACGGCCTTAAGAAATCAATAGCGAGTTGTGTACAATTAAGTATTTAACATCTTTCATCAGGTTAAAAAATCCTTCCAGGAAAGAAAATGACGCAATGCTTAAATGTTTGGCTTCCATTATTTTCTACAACCGAAAAAGGAGGATGATTATGGTAATAAGTACAATCAACAATTAGCGGCCTCCATTCCTTTACCATATATTTACTTGCAGTAAGTTGGAGGGAAAATTTACAGGAAGAAATGAATTTTATGAAAAAACCTTACAAAAGAATATTGAACAATACCCATATTTGACATCGAGTAAAAGAACAAGCTTAAAGTTTTTTTTTCTCACTTTAAAAAGCAAATAGAAATCCAGTGAAAACCAGAATGTAATAAATATTTTATATTTCGCGTTACTACTAACAACGAAATGGTACTTTCAATACAAAACAAATATTAGCTTCATCATTGACACATTTGTAATGAATAATGAGAATTATTTTCACGTTGTTAAAGACACCAGAAGATAGAATAGGATTTTTTTTTTTTAATTTAATAACTAAAATGATCTTTTGACACACAAAAAGAACAATTTTTTTAGTTAGTTAAGAGTCAAGGGAGAGACTGGAAATATCAAGTATATATACGCAAAAAAAGCATTTTAAAATCATATTTACGCTATAAATAAATAAGGAAAAAGAAATGTATATTGACGTTCATAAAGTACCAACATCATGGTTGAGAAAATGACAAGACTTAAAGATCTCTGCCCCGAGTTTAACACCATTATTGCTGGCAACAACAGGTAATAAAATTAGGGCAAACTTGGCTAAGTATTACGGGAGAAAATAGACAATAATAACGTGATTATCAATAAATTATTACTAATTTAGCTATTTCAATTATTAAGGTTATCTGTCTTTGGGGGATAAAACGGACAAAACTTATAGTTTAATGGTTTAATAAAGAAATGTAACATCTGGTCGATCTCACGGTAATAGGAAACAAGTTGAAGGTAGCGTACTAGCAATATTAAAAGGATTTGGGAATAAGACGAGGAAAACTGATGAGCAAATCAGATATCACAATGTTTTTTTTTTTATGCTGGTCCACTATTAGAATAAAAAAAATGTTTATTCCATCAGTGTGTTAAAATCAGTTTTACAAAAGTTAAGGTTTATGACGTAGTCTAAATGAAAAAAAAAAAAAAACTAACTTTATTTATTAAATAAACTGAAACCCCCCCCCAAAAAAACAACAAATAACGTAGTTTTATAGTATTTTTATAAAACTAGTTACCGGCGATGTTTGAAATTACAAACTGAGTAAAACAGTTTAGTTTAAAAAAGGTAAAAATACTCAAAAAGATCACTAAATTAACGAAGTTGTAGGCACATGGTGTTAATTGTAACTTTATTATACACACAATAATGTGCATATTTGAAGACAGTAAACAATAATGAAAAGTACTAAATTTTAGAAGTCATTTCTACAAATAAATTTGCTCTATTTAACAGTTAAAATATAAACTGTTGTTTACAACTGAAATGTATACTTAGATACACAACTATAAGCTTAAGTGTAGAGGGGGTGGAAATCCACATTAGATATAAACAATTTTGAGAGGGAGACTGGTGTATATTATTCTATATATTCAATAAACCTAGTTCAGCCAGTGACGGAAGAGAATATAGCATTGCTACTACTACTTCTACACACGACTACAAGATAAAATAATATACGACACTCAAGATTTTAACAAATCTCAAAAAAAAAAAAAAAAAAAAAAAAATATACAAACATTGCTAGTGGAAAACGACTCGCGACGAACATCACCATTTTAAAAATTGTTGACCTTTCTCTAACGCAAGAAGAATGAATAAGGACCTCTAGTTTACTGCAGGAAAATATCTTTAAAAGTAGAAAAAAAGAAAAACAAAAGACCTTTACTAAAGTACCTCACTCCCACTAACACATATGTTTATCTGATGCTACTACTTTTGAAAGAGAGAACAGATGAAAAACCAAGCAAAGCAAGACGTACTTATACCAACAACATAACGTAACGTACTACGGCTTATAGGTCCGGACCTTGAACGACGAAATCGCCTGTGCGGCAAAATTATTATCCGTGGCCAAATATTGGTGTATACTTACCCGATTGTCGATATGCAGCTAACTCCTGGTCACCTACTCAACAACATTCAATCAACATGTATTGTAAAATCCGGCGGGTGATTACTAAAAATCGTAGAAAAAAGCCACATAATTAATTCCAGACAGATTTCATTTTCCAAGATGGCGTCCCTTTTGTTTCCCGCCCAAACACGCAGTTCGAATGGAGACGAATCACCCAATCACAATCCGCGCCGACGAAAAATAGTCCCGAATGCCCGCTTCGACTTTGCGCCGACAGTGAGAAAACTGCCGCTGACCCCCCCAGGGAAAGAAATAAACGGTTAAACTTGCTGATATCAGTAAAGATTCCATTTATTAAGTTAAAAAATTAATATACTGAGTTGACGTTTAAAATATTTACAAATAGGATTTCGGCTAGTATAAAAAATTAACTCCGAAGTCAGAAATAAATACAACGCGGCCCAATGAAATTTACAAGCGCGAATTAATTCTTCATGTAAAAAGAGAAGTACACAAACTCATACACAAATCTAGGTCATAAGTACAACGAGATTAGTTTTTGTTTTTACAATTGTATTGATTAAATGTTATTTGTGAAATAAATGTTAGATATAAATAGGTATTTTGGGGGAATCAATTAGATTTTTTTTTTCAAAGAAAATAATTAAACTTAGTTTCATACTGAAGAAAAGTACTATTATTAACTAGTGTTGATTGATATTTGATTGAAATCCTTGTTCTTAATTTTTGGGTGAAGCCCTGCCCCTGTAACGCCCTTCAAAAGTTATTAGCAGAGACGATCATTTTCTTCATTTAACTTACTTAGATCAAATGTAAATAAAAGGGGGGGAGTCAAGTTGTTTAACGCAGAGGGGGCTATAGTATTATTCAGCTAACTGCCGCTACTACTTCGTATATTGGCAGTCGACGGCATCAGTTACTAAAATAAGCTCTTTAGAAATGGAGAGCCATCACACATCTCTTATTGGACTTGCTCTTAAAAATAGAATATTAGCATTAAAGTTTCATACCATCAAAATAATAAACTAACAACACTTTTAAGTTGTTTATTATTTTTAAGTCTCATATATTGTTAAATATTTAATTTACAGTAGACATGTACGAAACTTCACACAATCTCTTCTTAGCAACAGAAAACCGTTTATCCCCCCCTATTTACAACAGATTTTTTATTTTAGTTCAAAAGTAATTTTATAAATGTAAACTAAAATTACTAGTATTTTTTTTCTTTATAAAAAAAATAAGACCAACTATGCAATCTTGTTGCAATAAGGCAGTAAGCTAGAAAGAAAGATATTTAAAAAAGAAAAAAAAGACATGGTGTTGGAATGTTAGAAATGTAACTCGAAAGTTATCGTTTGTTTGGTTAGGAACTTTTAATTAACATCCTAAAAGTTTATTTCTATTTTTTTTTTGTTTTTTAAAGAATTATGTTAAAATTACTTCAGAATTTGATAAAGAAAAAAAGTATTAGTCGGGCTACCATTAGTGGTCGTTTTAACTCTGATTCAGTTCACAACTATTTAAAAAAAATAAAGAAAGCTGTTAAAAACTTGAAATTAAAACTGTTCTGTTTAAAAGCAATACAAAATGATTTCTTGGAATAAGCTTCGAGATATTGGTGCATAAGTCTATATTTATTCATATTTTAGTTGGAAAAACCCTAATGGCAATAATGTCCAGTGGAGGTTATGTATGTCATGCTATGCCTACGTAAGTAAGGAAGAGACTGGCTCCTCTTTTTATTCAACAAGCCAAAAAAAAGAATACTGGTTCCATCAATATAGCACCCCTCCTATCCTTATTAATATTATTTTGTTTTTATTCCAGTGCAAACAAATATCCAGGAAAGCCTGGAAGTAAAACATTGATTTGTAACATCACATGATGAATTCATTTTTAGCGGGTCTTCTTTTCAGTTTTCACTGCCCGCCATAATAAGAATTACATTTTTTCTTTCATGAAGTCTACTTAAGTCAGCATTTAGTTACCTACAGTTTTGTTACTGTGTAGCTTTTAAAACCACTAAAAAAAATGAAAATTACAGCATTTTTTATTATAATTGCTAACAACACACCTCTTCAATTTAACTGAAAGAAAGCAAAGTATTCACGTTATTGCAACTAGTCTTTTTAAAATTAAATAAGAATTTCACTTCTGCAATCTTTAGTTTTAAATTTTTAATCTGTTATCAATTCTTTTGATACCTACAAAAAGCACGAACAACATTTGACTACTATGGGTCCGGATCCCAGTTTGAATAGTTTTTTTTTTTTTTTTAATTATTTTTAATAATATAAATAGCTATTAATTTTTCTCCCAGAAATTTAAGAATATTTATTAATTTCAATTTTAACTACGTATATTACCGATTCAGTAAAAAGCTGAATTGCTCACTGCTAACAAAAAGAACTTTTATACAATTTCATTTAAAAATCATGAAACTGAAAATAAACTTTCCTTTTCATTTGAACTGTTCTGTTATTTACTAAAATAACCAGTTAAAAGTTTAATGGTGATTGTGTGTGTGTTTTTCCGAATCAAAGTCGCTAGACTTGAAATTAAAAAAAAAAAACATTTGGGATTTGGTCTTCTGCTCAAATATTGACACTAGCAAAGCTTTGCATTATGAACAACTTTCACCTCATCGCACCGATAGCGAGTTTATGATGATAATGGTAATTTACTACTCAAAGTAAGAAACTTATTTAAGCTTCCTGCTTCATCAAACTACTCTACCATTTTTGTCCATAAAAAAAGGTAAAGGCTTTTTTTTAATGAAATAGTGCACATAAATGTGCGTGCATTTCATTTTTAAATACTTTTTTTTTGCACAAAAATCAACAAATGAGAAAGTTTTACAATAAATAATTATAATTTATAAGTAAAATAATGCTACAACAAATACTATTTTTAAACAGTAATGTCCTGTTAATAAAATATGATTATAAATATTTTAAAAGGTAAATTAATTCGACTTCGTATTGTATTGTTGGTAAAGAAAAGACGAACGAAAATTGCACTCAGTACTTTTGTGATGTACATCTACTACTATTTCATGTGAAAGTAGAGTAGTAGTAGTGCTTAGTTCGCAATTGTATTGAAATTAGTATTTAATATTGTTTTATAAAAATCTTTTGGTGCCTTAGGTTTTCCATTTTATAAAGGCTGAATCTGTTATGTTTTTCTCCGAAAAGGACTAAAAAAAAAAAAAAATCCTTCCTTCCGATAGTCTGTCCATAATACGTCTTCCTCTCTCTAATAATTTACTGCTCCTCTTCCTCCTCCTTCACTCCGTCCTCCTTTCATTTCTTTCATAACTGCTGCTGCCTTTCCTATAGCCACAGGTTCTAAATGGCTGTGTTGGGATTTTTACTATTATTACCCTTATATCTGTGATATGGAGCAGGAAAATGAATCGGACGAACCTAAACAAGGCAAATTGCTGCCAGGTAAAGAAAAAAAATTATCAGAACTTTTGTTTTGATAAACCCGCTGGAAATATTTTTCTAATTTTTTTTTTTTAGTTCCGAAAAAAAGAAAAATGCTCTTCCGTGTAAAAAGGATATTCTTCCGTCCGAAGAAGAGCGATGGAAAACAAAAAGTACCTTAAAGAAAGTGACTTTTTTTTTTTTTTTTTCAGGTTGAATTTAAATATCATAAATAGTTGTATTGATTTTTTTTTGTTGAGATTCTTTGGTAACATCTACGCTCTTTGTCTTTAAAGATCATAGCTTAAGAAACAAAAATAAAAAATTCAAACACTTTTTTTGCTCGTTTGTGGAAGAAAACATGGAAAGATGTGTTTAAGTTATTTTTTTTTTTAATCTCGTGGTCATATCGAAAAAACACTAAGATAGATTTATAAAAAGCTGATAAAATATTGTTTCACTGTTAAAACAACTTAAAGAGACGAAGATGATCGTTAAAATACAAATTTTGCTCTTTATTGTCAATAATATTTAAAAACAATAATCACAGGTGAAGCATTTGTTTTGTAAGTTTATCCGGTAGTTTTCTTTTAGTTTTATTTAATTAATAATAAATTTGAATGTTACTTTTTTGTGTATGCGTGTATTTTTTTTTTAAGCACTTTCTTGTTCTAGTGGCTAAGTTATCATAAAATCAGAAATTTACTTGTCACTTTCTTACGAAAAAACTCATCCATCAATATTCAATTCTATTTTTAAATTTGATTAATATTTTCTTTCCTATTTCAACTCTAAAATCCGTTAAATTAATGAATCGCTCTTATAAAACCTTTAAAGTTTCTAGAAAACTTTTTCCTCCTACATTGAGAAAGAAAAACCATTTATTTTGAAGATGATCAGTATTTATTTCTACACTTTTTTAAATTTAAGTTTCTGATGTTGAGTTACATTTAAACTAACTTTAAATTTCTGTTAAAAAAATAAATTTTACCGTTTAATAATTATCTAGTCTAATCGTTTGTACAGCCTTTTAGTTTTAAAGTTTTTTGTTGTTGTTAAAAAGTAAACCATATCCTGGATCCCAATATGCCATTTTTTTTTTTCAAATGAATGACCCCTGCCCTGACTAACAATTTGCTAAGAATGAAATCTAAGTGAAAATTAACGCACCTTCATTTTAAAAAAAAATGTGCATTTATTCACTAACGAGCCCAAATTTGTAAAATTGCATTACGCTTTTAACTTTTTCCTTCTCAGTGTTTTAAAAAATCTTGTTTTCTCTTCATTTTTCAGGTCGGTTGAGTGACAAATAAAAAATATTTTGAGTATGTGTTTAGTTTACTTAACTAATTTACTTTTTTTTAACCTTCGCCTTTCTATGCAATTTAATTTTGGATATTTTGATATTCAGATTTTTATGCATTTGTTCATTTAACAGGTGGCCAGTTTCGAGATTTTAATTAGTTAAGAAAACAGCATAAACAAAAATGCCAGCCACGATGAGTAATTCTTTGAAATTAAAAAAAGTATTAAAAAATCAAATAAAATGAATGAAATAATTTTTGTAATCGTTTCTTCTTCTTCTAAAAAAAAAGTTAAACGTTTTTTTTCTCCATAAAACTAATTGCAAATAAATTCCATTAACTTCACATTTGCAATGATCTTAATTTTTGTTATCAAAGTTAAACCAGAAGCTGTTCTCTTTTTTTTCTTCTTTTTAAATTATTCCCTGCCTTTTTTTTTCCCTATTTCGTCTTTATAGCAGATTTGGTTCATTTTTTGTTTTTTATTTTTATCACTCCGCAAACAATTGCTGAGTTGAAGTGAAATGTATCAATTTATTAATATTATCAAAAGTTCGATTCTGGTATTGATATTTTTATTTTATTTATTTAATTTTTTTTTTTTTTTTTTTTTTACTATATCGTTACTTTCGGCATTTTTAAATGGGCTAGATTTTGAAAACATTTACACTACAGTCGTATTTTCGATTTAAAATGCATTTCAAAGTAAAACTTTGATCAAGAACACTGCTGAAAAAAATCTTAAATTTTCCAACTTAGATATGGATAATTTTGGTCAGAAATTGTCTCACCAATAAAGTCAGTGTCAGTAAACGCTACTATATTCCATGCTTTTTTTTTTTTAATTTAGATTTCTACACTTATTTTGCACGTGAATATTTAAACGTCACACACATGATCAATTGCAGAAGTTTTTTTTTTTTTTTTTTTTTTATCAGGTCAAAGTAACTTTTTTTTAGTATCAATTTCTTTTTTGCGCAAACAAAAAACTACAATAAATGAAATTTTCATGTTCCAACATATGGATTTGTTTTGAGGTGGAAATTTTCAAATAACTTTTTTTTTAATCTTAGTCATTTTTTAAATATTGTTAGTTAACACTGGAATGAAAATGTAAAAAAAACTGTTCCCTTTGTGAAATCTCTCTCAATTTCACTTTCATTATTGTCACTTGTTCTGTATTTGTTAATCCCAAAAAAAGCATATGAGAACATTGTCCCAATTTATATTGTTTTACTTTTCAATTTATTGGAAATCGATACATTATCTTTTCTCAAAAAGAAAATTAAAATTCTTTTTTGTTAATGTTTGGCATAGGGGTGTTTAGTTTTTTTTTGTTTTTATTTCATTTAAAAACAATTACTTTTGATTTGAATGTTCCAAACTTAACAGTTTCATCGTCAAAATCTTTAAGGGGAAAGACCAAAGGATTTTTTGATTAAATTATTTTTTGGGATCTTTTTTGTTTTTCTTGCGTTAGCTGCGGACCGTATTAGTTAAGGTAAGAATAAGTCCTTGGCGAAGTTGAATCGATTTTTTTTTTTTTTTTTGTCAAACAGGGCTCCCGTTTTTACAACTACTCAACTCTGAATTGTAAAATAAAAAATGTAATGAAACAAAACTTTTTTTTTTTTTAACTTTTTGCTTTAGTTTTATATAAAATAACTGTATTGTCTTAAAAATTAGAATTGTTCATTAGGGTAAATAAAAATTTATAAACTTTTAACTTTTTTAAATTCTGTACTAATTTCTAACAGGTGATATTGTTATTAAGTAAAATAACAATATCTCACACATATAGTCTTTACTAAAAACTACTAATCATAAATGGAAAAGCTCGCTAAAATTCGATAACCCCAATATTTTAAAAAGAATTTTGAATTTGTGTCGATTTTTGTAAATGTCTGAATGCAACTATTAGCAGAAAATAAAAGCAGTAATTATAATAAAGTTAAAATTTATTGGTAATTTTCTGACATTTCCTCAACAAGTGTCTTTGTGAGTAAGGCTAAAGTGCCTCATTCAATAAAATATTAGATTGCTTAAAATAATTTCTGAAATTTTTAAGCTTACTAGGTAACTAAAAAAAAAAGTCATTCACACTAAGTAATTTTTACATTTATGTCCCACTTAGAAAAAATTCTAAACATAATTCTAGCAAGAAAGTTGTCAACACCTTAAAATACTCACCTCCATGTTAAAAATTGTTCTCTGTGATATTTTAAACTCAGAGTAATGTTTGTTTTAAATTAGATTAATTAAACTTTAAGTCAGCTAATCTTTCTCAAATAAAGTTTCAGAAGAGTATATTTTAGTTTTGAGATACCACCAATGATTTTCTAAAAAAAAAAAAAAAAGGCCCCATACTTAAGAAAAACAAAGTTTTATCGTCAAAATGTTTACTATAAAGAGGAAAGACCAAAATATTTTTGGTAATTTTTAATCCTTTCTACCCTGCTTGAAATTCTGGTTATTTTTTTTTTTTTTTTTTGTCTCAGTGGGTGTGCTGAAGGTTAGTATTGGAAATTCTTGCACAAATCAAATAATTGTTGGATTTTAATGAGATTTTCAGGATTTATGCACAAATGAATGAAATTATTTTTGAAAGTTTTTTTTCCATCTCTTTTATGAAATTTCAAGAAACTAAAATTTCCTCTTCATATTTAATTTATATTAGTTAAAAGCAGGACTTGGAGAATTTAAATCGTCAAATTTATTTATTTATTTATTTTTTTTTCAAAAATACATTTCATTCATTTACGGAAAATCTGAATCATAAAATAAAAAATGCAATAAAATTATGACATTTAATTAGAAAAGTTTTTAAGTTGCTTTTATAAATAAGATATATTAAGGAAACTATCGTCCTAAGAATAGAAATTTTATTTTTCAATGAATAATGAATTTTTACAAGAATTGTTTTCATTTTTAATAAATTTTAATTAGAAAAAATTGTTTTAAATCTTTTAAAATTCTGTATTAATTTCAGCCTTTTATATATTATTAAGTGAAGAATACTAATCATAAATGGAAAAGCTTTAATACAAATCATCACACACCAATATTTTTAAAAGAATTTTTTTGTATAAACCTGATAATTTTTGAAAATACAGCCAACCATAGACAACATTATCAGAAAATAAGAGCCATAACTAGTAAATTTAAAGACATTTCTAGAATTCAATAAAACATTAGATTATAAATATCTTCCTAAATTTTTAAGATTACTGAGTATTTAAAAACATATATATATATATAACAAAAAATGCGTTCATTTCATTTTCTTCAATTATGTTTTACAGATAAAGTCTGTACAACATTAGATGTGTCAGCATGTCAAAACAGCTAGTCTGTTAAAAAATGCATTTCTACAATACTTTAAACTTAAATATTTTTCAAATCAGATTAATTATACTTTAAATCAGCTAGTATACCTCAAAGTTTCAGAAAAGTGTATTTTTGTTTTGCAAGAGTTTTTAATAAAGAAAATTACATTGTGATGAAAGATGACTAAAAAAGGGACACTAATCAACTATTTTAGTAAAAAAAACTTCTTTCAGTCAATTTAAATTAGTTTGTGAAATAGACAAAAGTATTTTGTTTATTGGAAATATTTAAATTTAATCTATTAGCTTGAAATGGAAACTAAGATAACAGCTTCAAGAAAGATTTTTCATTTTAAAAAATTAATTTTAAACCTTAAGTATTGCTTTTTTT